CTTAAGTATATTGTTAAAAATGGAGAAAGTTATGAGTTAATAGAATGTTTGATTGAAAATCATTTTCAAAAAAATCTCTTTGAAACAAGCTCTTAGCACATGGTAGGTTCTCTAGATTAAAAGAGTCATATTAGAAACTAAACGGTGGATATATGAAAATAGTTCTTTCTTTTAAACATATCCTACAATATAGAAATTGGTTAGAAATAATGGTTGACGATTTCAACAATTAAAATATCTGGAAATTATGAGTAGACATTGCAGCAGCTAAAAAAAAAAAAAGCGTTTAAAGTATGTTATAACTTAGGTTATGAGGCACGTGACTTCATCTACAATGTGATCATGTCATTGTTGTAATCTAGAAATAGTTATTTAGCCTCTGTTTGACAACTTTTAAAATTTAAAATTGTGTGCTAAGTGTTATTCTCCACCACATATTCAAATAATATAATATTATACACACAAATTAATAAAGCTTCTTTACTTTTTTACCACACGTTCTAAAAAAAAAGTAATATTAAAAATTCTTTAATTCTTAAAATAATTGGCGACAAACAAGGCCTTAATAAGAAGTAATTGTGACTATGACTCATTCTCTATCGTATAATTATGATCAATTCATTTGGCATGAGTTTACATTAGATTGACAAATAATTGTGACTCTGACTTTGCTATTTTTATAAAATTGCAAGAATTTCATGTGACAATTATTCACGTAGATATAGATTATTGCCAAATATGACCGTTGTGACAATTGATGGGATGTTTAGCAACATAAAATTATGGCTCGTGCGAGTTGTATCCGTTCTATATTGTAGAGTTGTGACTATGATTAAGTGGCCCTCAAATTAGATAAAACGAAAAATAATGAATACTTTTATTGGTGAGCTATTCAATCGTCCTCTATATCAAGACAAAAAAAAGAAGAAGAAAAGAAAAACGAGAATATGCCCTTGTTTGAACCCCATTTTAGGAGGGAGATAATGAATTTTCGAATAGTTTATTAATGAAAAATATGTGGTTAAAAAATAAGATTTTTTTTTTTTAGATTTGTATGTAATATTATTTTATTGAAAAATATGTAATTCAATTGATATTAAAATACTACTGAGAAATACATTTTTCTTTTCAAAAGAATGGGATTCAAACAAGGGCTATATGTTTAAATTGCATAATGGTGGAAACAATATTAGGGCCCTGTTTGAGCCCCATTATTTTTTAATAAAAATAAAAAATATGATCGTTATCCATCACATTAAGTCATTATATTTGATTTTTTATTTCTTATGTGTAGTTCATAACAACTCTATTTTTTATTCTCATTTTTACAATAACGGGGCTCAAACAGGGGCTAGAATTGCAAAAAAAAAAAAATTATAAATGCAATATTGAAAATTTTGATTTAGTGAACGATTCACTTTCTGTACTGGGGAAAAAAAAAAATTGTGGAAACAATAATATTAGGACTTTAAAAAAAATTGTAAATGAAATACTGAAAATTTTGAATTAATTAATTTCCTAAACAATCTGATATACGATTATCTAGGTTAAGTGTGTCAAAAATAAAAACTCATTTTCCCCAAAATACTTTTTTTTTTCTTCAACCATATATTGTTTATTAAAATAATATTAAAAGTAAATCAAAAAAATTTTCTTTTTTTTATTACATATTTTTCATTAATTTACTATTTTAAAATATATTTTTACTAGTGTGGTGCAAACACGCCCTAAATTTAGGATTCGTCTAATTTTTTTAAATTATTACTAACTCGATCGAGGCCCATCTGAATTTCAACCATAACCTATTCATAGAGCAAAGAGGGACAGGCGGCAGGGTTTTCTACTTTTCTTCCTCGATATAACGCTAAAAATTTGGGCAAGAAGCCAAAAAGGTAATTTATCTTGTGTTGCATTGATTTCTACTCAACTTATTCATCAACAAAATTGGCAGTTAGTATAGAATTTTATTAGCGTAAAAAGGGGCTTTATATCTTTGAAATCGCGCTTTATCTGATTATTGTGAATGATTGAATTTCAACTCAACTCCTTATAATTCATTTATTTTTCCAAAATTGTTGTTTCTTGATGGTAATCTTCCTCTAGCAACAGTGATTTTTTCGATAACATTTTCGTGGATTTTTTTGATGCGGTTGATTATCGTTTTCTCCTTGCCTTTAAACGCCCTAAGTGTAATACGTGAAATACCCAGGACTAAAATTCAACGAGGGAAAGAAAAAGAGTATTTATTTATTTATTTATTAATCATTATTATTATTTTTAAATAGCGATATCCCATTCTTTTTGCATTTTCTGACTATTGTTTGTCGTTTGGAATTTCTCCGTTTTCATGGAGAGTGCATGAAATAATTATCTATCCGATGAAAATGAATAGTTTTTAGTGTATATATAACCTTTTCGGAACGCTGATATTTTGTAGGCTGAAGTTGCTTCGATTCGATATTGCTCCTGAGGATCCAATCTGAAATTCTGCTGACGAAAAGCAGAGATGGGAGAGAGAAAAGTGTTGAACAAATACTACCCGCCAGACTTCGATCCGGCGAAGATTCCGCGGCGGCGACAGCCGAAGAACCAACAAATCAAGGTTCGCATGATGCTCCCCATGAGCATCCGCTGTGGCACCTGTGGAAATTACATCTATAAGGGTACCAAATTTAATTCCCGCAAGGAGGATGTCATCGGAGAGGTACATGCAAATACATAAATATTACTTTTATCTTTATGTAGGTTTAATTGATTGTTTTGAATAATGAGTTGGTTGATTTGATTTTTAGTTATGGGTATTGCTTAGAATTTTGTCTTGGGTGAAAGAATTGAATGAGGAGCCGTATGAGGTGAAAATCTCATGTACGGTTCTGTAGAGTGGCAGTAAGGGTGACTTATCTGTCAACTTTTCCATTATCACCCCAAAAAAACCAAACTCTGCCTTACGTAAAGTTGCCAGAGTACGATTAACCTCTCAAAGAAATAGCCCACTTGTTTCTCGAGAAGAGATGGGAAACATGCTCAATATCATTTGATTGAATAGTTGACCCAACCCCTTGTTGTTTGAAGAAACCCTCCACTTCAATTGGTATTTTTTCACGAAAAGCAGACATGAGATAAGAAATCCAGTGTTTCACTAAGATTTCGAATAGCGGTCCCGAATTCAAGTTGATTCTGAAATCCTCAAATTTTATTGTTTTATGATTTGGTCATTATATTTTGAAGTCCCTGAGGATCTGGAAGTTTGGGGTTCTAGGATCTGGAAGTTTGGGGTTCTATCTTATTGATATCTACCTAATGACATGGATTGGTTTTCTTTTGATATTGGTTAAAGGTAGTGAGTCTCGTTTCGATTAGTTGGGTTATGTGGCCTCTGTAACTCTTTAAAAGTGGTTTTATCATTTGGGGTCTAAGGGTTTTTGTTAGGTTATATTTTAAGAAATGAGCACTGGTTAGGCTTTTGTGTTACTGGTTTTTGAGGTCTATCAAAAGTATTCAATTCTTGTATCTTTTAGATTTAGTTGTTGATTTTAGTAATTGGTTGTTATTCTATTTCCGTTATGAGTTATGGATAGTGCTTCAGATCTTTTATTATAGGATTTCCGGGACTTTGAACAGGTTAGAATTTTGGTTTTGAATTTAGAAGTATTGCTAGCTTTACCCAGTTTTCTCAACTCAAAAATAATTTTGTTTGCATTAATGAACGTGGAAATGAATCTGAAACCTCAATTTGTTCTACCAGATATATTCTAGAACTGTAGAAGCTTCCATATTTTTGGAAAATTGGAATCTTTATGATGGTCAATAATCATCATTGTACTCTGGCTAACCAAGGTGCACTCAAAGAAAAGTGATTCCACTCTTTTCCTAAAATCCTAACCGATTGAATGATTCAAAAAATGTAAAGCAGTTGCTGGATACGGGATCCTTGTAGTAGGCTGGATCGACATCCATCTGAGAGAGGGATGTTAGTTTTGATTTATGTGGATTCTCGTACTTCTCTTTCCGAACAATAAGCATACTCTTAATTGCTATCTGCTTATGACTTCATTATTTAACTCTATTGTGCATGTTACATTTATCTGCAGACCTATCTCGGAATCCAAATTTTTAGGTTCTATTTCAAATGTACTAAATGCTCAGCTGAAATAACATTCAAGACGGATCCACAGAATTCTGATTATATTGTTGAGTCTGGTGCAAGTAGAAATTATGAACCTTGGCGTGCAGAGGATGAGGTGAATATTTATTTTAACTATTATCTGATTGCCCTTCATATTCATGTAAAGCCCTATTTTTATTTTTTTTATTTTTTAAACATGCTTGTTTGAGGTTTCACTAATTGTTATTTCCTTCTTGATAGGTAATAGATGAAGAAAAAAAGAAAAGGAATGCTGAAGAGATGGGAGATGCCATGAAATCGCTGGAGAATAGAACTTTGGACTCAAAGAGAGAAATGGATATCCTAGCTACTTTAGACGAAATGAAGTCTATGAAGGTGATCATTTCATCTAGTGATGTGCTCATATATTGGTTTCTAATAACTTCTTGATATCTGTTTTCCCTTTTTGAACGTCTTTTTAACCCTTGATTTGGCTCATATTATTTTTCTTTCTTTTTTCAGTCGAGACATGCAACTGTGAGCGTAGATGCAATGCTTGAAGCTTTGCAACACTCAAATGAGGCAAAGGTGAGATGCTAATGCTAGTTTAGCATAGAATATGTGCTCTCTCTCTCTCTCTCAAGCTTTGTGTTTTTGCTTGGGGGCTGGGACATCTTTCATTATAAATTATACCATCATTTGAACTATGATCTCTGAGCATTTATTTTATTTTGTTATACTTATTGCATTGATGGATGCTAGCGTGGTGGTTATATGGCTACCCTCAGAGTGATGGTAGAAAATACAAAAACTGGCTGGTCTGTTCATGAGACTTCTTTCTGGGTGCTGATTCCTTAATTTAGGAGTCACATTAGTCAGTTAACTGGGTAAAGCTAGCAATACTAAAGTGATTTTGGGGTATTCTTCTTAACCCTCATTAGGATCTAACAACAATACTAAAGTGATTTTGGGGTATTTTTCCCATTATGATCCTAATAAGGGTTACTTTGTTGTTAACAATAACAACAAAGTAACCCTTATTAGGATCATAATGGGAAAAAATGGAAGATGAAATACCTAATTTTATGAAACAGTTTAAGCCCCATTCGACAATTATTATTTTCAAACTCTTTTTTCTACACACTCATTTCCAACCACACATTCACACAAATAAAATATTTTGCACGTAAACTTAAAACTTGTCCATACTTTTTAACCACATATTCTCCTAAAAATACTACTCAAAACTCTTTTTCCCCCAATAATGGTTGTCAAAGGGGGCTTATTTTATTTTATCTTTTAATTACAATTTCAAAACTATGCAGGAGTTGGTCCATAACAATATTAGAAGTGGTTGTCTTGGTTATTGATTTATCTTTAAATTAATAATGTGAAGATTTTTTTACTTGAACTTTGGCTAGCAAAAATGTGACCTTTTTGCATTATTGTACGGACTACTTCATACCTTGAGTCTTATTATAATTTGGACTTCTGTTCTGATAGGAAAGGAAGTTGGAAGAAGAGGATGAAGCTCTTATAAAGGCTGTGTTCAAGGTGAGCATTTGTTGACAAATTCATATCATTTGTTGTTTGTATTTATTATTATTGCTTTGTGTCTTTGTTCACTTTGGGCATTGCTTGGTTTAATTATTTACACAGGGACCACGAGAGCCTACTGTTCTACGAAGGATTGATGATGAGGATATTGATGATGACAATGATGATGATTTGCCCATGTTTTCATCTGACAAAGGAGGAAGATCTGCTGATCATTTTAAGGTTTAGTACTTATCTTGCCCATCTTGTTGAGTTTTGCCCTTCGTAAATTCTATGTTTCTCTTTTCACTCAGACTTAAGTGGGCAAAGGAGAAACTAAATAAATAAATTGAGGTAAAGCATCTCTCAGAAAAAAGTGTTGAGGAAAACAAATTCCTGGGTCTTCCACCTACTCAGAACTTTTGGAGGAAAGAATACTTACAATGACAACTAACCATTTATCATCTTGTTGTGAAGCAATGTGCTCTAAATGTGGAGGTATCTGTGTCTCTATTTGAAAAAGTCAATGTCGATCATACTTTTTTGGTTGAACATGCAGAAAATGGAGCAATGCTGATGATATAAAAATGTGCTATAGCAACTTTTTTCTATTTCATGAAGTACATAACATGGGCCAGAATATGAATGCTATCAAGTTGTAAATTGCAATCTTTTTTGATCTGCCTATTGCTATGTTTTTGGTAATTTAACTAGCTATATTTAGTATCTTTTGGTGAAAGAAATCATTAATCTGAAGACAGAATACAATCATTAATTTCATTACAGGATCTGGACAACCTGTAGATGTGGAATTAAATTATCCCTGCCAATCCATGATATATGAATGAGGGATTTATAAATATATCCCCCTTATCTTAATCTTATTTTAGAGCTCTTTAAAACTAAATTTCATAAATCTAGAAAATTGGGACAAGAACAAGTTAGATACATGGTAACTATTGCCACTTTCTTGATGCTTGATGGGGATTCAGTATCAAACCTCTGTGCACGATGTGAAATATTTAAATGAGAATTTGAATGTCTACTGACCAGATAATGTTTGTAAGCACACCTATTTTTCT